AAAAGCAGCCGAAGCTAATGATGAGTTAATGGTTAACTCAAATGATGTGAACGGAGCATGTAGTGATGTATGCATTCAGAAATATGCATTAGATCCTTTTCTAAGCACTTTAATGTTAAGTAATTGTTGTAATTGTTACATTTGTTATGAATGTCAGCCAGATTAGGTTAATATGGGGCATATTTTTATATTGATTCTCTTCTAAAATGTTTGTGAAAGCATAACGCTGTATAGTAGTGTATAGTAACACAATAGTAATAAGTGATAGTACAAGTTTAATGTTTTAATGCTGGATTTTTGGTTTTATAACATCATAATTGGCTTTCTCAATAACTTAGGGTTATTACATGAGTAAAAGTGACATTTATTTAATCCTAAATTGTCGGTATTTCTCATAAATATATTAACAAGTGTTAATATAAATGCTGATGTAATGTAAATTGGAAATGTTGTGAAGGAAAATGTTACATTGAATTAATTATAATGATTAGCATCATTTTTGCATTTATACCAGTAGTTATAGATAGAGTAAGAAATGTATTATTTTAATAATTCTTGTAATATTACTTGAGTATCTCAAAGTAAGACCAAGACTGTATTCTGAGGAGTGTATTCAAGTGTTTAAAGTATTTTTGTTCAATGTATTAATGCCTTTTGTTCACAAAGAAAATCTAGTTACATTGCATTGAGTGTGTATTGATATTGTGTATTGATATTGCATTGAGTAATATGATGTATTAATATCCATGACACATTTGAATTTTATATTATTGATATACGTTTGGTTTTATTCTGGAACACTGTGTACTATGTGTTAGCTTTAAAAGAAGTAATTATCTTTGATATATTAAACTGCACTCGAGCAATGCTATAACGTGTCTGTCTCCTTATCATTCACAGTTTTGTGCGTGATTTGGCTTGTGCCGGTCCAGATTCCCCTAGGTCTGAAGCCGGTAACATTTGGATGGATGTTGCTTCTCGGTTTATTGCTTTTTGGCGCTCTTACTGTATAAATATGTATAAGCTACACAATGAGATGATGACCTGAATCAACCTCGTTCAGGAACAATTGGTACTAAAAATATCGCTCCCTTCATCCTACAATGGGAGAAGGCTCAGTCCACATGATGTTTTTGGACGCTTAGATGTGCCTGGGGAATGCAGGCGGTTATATATAACAGATGCTCGATGCATGCAAATATATTTGTTCAAATTAAAACCCGGGAACACAGCGTGTGACCACAGAACCAGTCATAACTGTCATGTGTTTTAATGTTGAGATTTATACTGTACGTCATTAATAAGCTTATTAAAAAGGCTTTCCATTATGGTTTGTAAGGGCAGGATGATATTTGGCTGACAGGCCTAGAACTATTTGAAAATCTGAAGGTAAAAAAAAAGCACACAAAGAAAACTGCATTTAAAGTTGAATATATTAAATTCTTAGCATTATACATTATTAATAAAAATACTGTATATAAAAAATATAAAGTTTTGATATATTTACAGTAGTACATTTACATAATATATCTATGGAACATAATTTTTTACTTAATATTCAAAGTGGCGCAGTAGGTAGTGCTGTCGCTTCACAGCAAGAAGGTTGCTGGTTCGAACCTCGGCTCAGTTGGCGTTTCTGTGTGGAGTTTGCATGTTCTCCCTGCCTTCGCGTGGGTTTCCTCCGGGTGCTCCGGTTTCCCCCACAGTCCAAAGACATGCGGTACAGGTGATTTGGGTAGGCTAAATTGTCCGTAGTGTATGAGTGTGTGTGTGTGTGAATGTGTGTGTGGATGTTTCCCAGAGATGGGTTGCGGCTGGAAGGGCATCCGTTGCGTAAAAACTTGCTGGATAAGTTGGCGGTTCATTCCGCTGTGGCAACCCCGGATTAATAAAGGGACTAAGCCGACAAGAAAATGAATAAATGAATGAATGAATGAATTCTAATGTTTTTGGCAAAAATAAATGTCATTTTGACCCATACAATGCATTTTTGGCTACTCTCTGGGTTTTGTGGTCCAGGGTAACATATATATGGATTTCAAACTGTACTATGATTTAAAATGTATTATTAAAGGTCTAAAGTGAATTTCTAGATGACTAATATAATATACAAATTTGCGAAAATGCATACACTACCTGATGAAATCTTGTTGTCAATCCAAACTTTAGGAACAACAATAACTTGGCTTCTAGTTGATCATTTGGTATCAAAAGTGTCTTATATGAAATGCAAAGGCCTCTGTATTACGCTTATTTTACCAAAATAAAATATGATCATGCCTTGATTTTTAATTATTTAATTAGGACAGTAAAGTCTGACGTTGCTTAGACAAAAGTCTCGTCACGTAACAGAAATAATGCACCGAATAGAATATAAAGTCATGGTGCAGTGGAAAAATAATTAATATTGTGAATGACTCCCATGAGCTTGGACGACTGCATCCATACATCTCTGCAATACCTCAAATAACTTATCAATAAAGTCATCTGGAATGGCAAAGAAAGCATTCTTGCAGGACTTTAAATTCTTTATTAAATTTAAATTCTTTAAATTCATCTTCAATGCCTCCTCTATCTTACGCCACACATGCTCAATGATGTTCTCATCTGGTGACTGGGCTGGCCAATCCTGGGGCACTTTGACCTTCTTTGCTCTAACTTAGATGTGGAAGCTGAAGTATGAGAAGGAGTGCTATCCTTCTGAAAAAAATTGCCCTCTCCTGTGGTTTGTAATGTAATGGACAGCACAAAAGTCTTGATACCTCAGGCTGGTGATGTTGCCATCTACTCTGCAGATCTCATGCATGCCCTCATACTGAATGTAACCCCAAACCATGATTTTTTTCTTCACCAAACTTGTATGATATCTGTGAGAATATTGGGTCCATTTAGGTTCCAATAGATCTTCTGCAGTATTTGCAATGATTAAGATGCAGTTCAATAGATGATTCATCAGAAAAATTGACCTTCTGCCCCCTTCCCAAATGATCACCTAGAAGTCATTATTTTTGCTCTTACGCGTGGGATTGTCAACAAGACTTTTGTTAGGTAGTGTATATAAACTGTACAATATACAAACATGTTAACAATTTAATTTGTACCAATAAAAATGTATTACTATAACATGCTTGTGCAGTTTTAATATCAAAAAGAAATAGTTGCTTGTGAAATATTATTTATTTGTAAATTTACAATAATCCAGAAATGAGAGTAAATTGTAAAATAGAAAAAAAAGGCACAATCTGCATGGCGATACAACATTAGCATAATATAATACAGCTTTTCTCTTTATCTAAATATATCGATCTATATATAAATCTCTTAATGTGAAATAGCACACACCTGCTGTCCATCAAACGCAGATACTTTAAGGCAACAATTGTTCAAAACTTCACAGTTTCTCAGCACGTTTCTGTCTTCACACATTAAAACAAATGCATCATCTCCTCATGTGTCAAGGCTGAAACTCCACACACCGCAAATTCACAACAGATCTTTTTATATACAGATACAACTGGCGAATGCCTTGCGGAAAAGTGTAACGTGTCGGTTGTTTGCTTGTTTTTCTTCTTTTAATTAAGAAAACGGGAGCTTACATCTTCATTTCACACCCTATTAACTTTTAATATATTAAAAAACGAAGGGAAAAGGATTAAGACAGAGGAGTTTCAAAGCAAACATGAGGCAACCAAAAGCCTTTAAGTCAAGCCAGATCACACTGTATGGCAGATTTCACCACTGGGAGGAACTCAGTTTTTAAAAAGTACCTAGTAAAATGAAAACTCAATGAGTATTTACAATTTACACAAACGTAAGAAGAAGAAAGAAAGGCAGTATGGGTGTTTATGAACTGCAGGCAGTTTTGTTTGTATAATTTTACACTATTTGTTCTCTAAAATTTGGTTTAAGATACTTTGGTTAAATTATTCCCTCATCTAAATAAGATCTGATAGACAAGCACATTTATATATGCTTGTTGTGCAAATTTAAATTTACAATGAGTTCAGAGCTGAATGTATGTGTATTTAGTGCTAAATATCAATGCAAAGGCTCATATTCTGAATCATTATTTTTATAGAAATACCGAAAATTCTATTTTTTGAGACATTTTTAAGAAAAATCTCTTATATAAAGTAAAACAAAATCAATACTGCGAGTTTAAATGCGGGAGTTAAAAAAATATGATGTGCAATTGTTGCATGTGTGCAAAACATTCCAGCACTAAATCCACATTTGTGCCGTAATCCAACATTTTTAAATTTGTCAGCTATATACATGATACTGTTTTGTGTAGAAGCAAAACGCAAGGCCTGAAAGTCTTTTTATTAGGGCTTTGGGAATTAACCTGCATTCTAAAAGCTCAAGTATTTACAGTACTGATTCACTATTTCTGAATGCCTGCGAGTTGGAATAAAATCAACCACATACATAATAGAGCAAATCAATGACGTTAATCAATAAAAAAAATAATAATAATAATGTTGGTTGCCTGACAGGTGAAAATGCACTTGCAATTTCTACATTCAGCCACCGGGGGGAGCTATAGCTGCAAATATATTCTCTATAACTTCACATCTCATAAAAACAGCTGAAGTCAGAATTATTAGCCTCCCTGATTATTTTTTATCCCTTTTTCTGTTAAATAGAGAGATTTTTTCAACAAATTTCTAAACATAATATTTTTTAATAACTCATTTCTAATCACTGATTTATTCTATCTTTGCCATGAGGACAGTAAATAATATTTGACGAGATATTTTTCAAGACACTTCTATAAAGCTTAAAGTGACATTTAAAGGCTTAAATAGGTTAAATAGGTTAACTAGGCAGGTTAGAGTAATTAGGAAAGTTATTGTATAACTATAGTTGGTTCTGTAGACTATCGAAAACAAATATAGCTTAAAGGGGCTAATAATTTTGACCTTAAAATGGTGTTTAAAAATATTAAAATTGCTTTTATTCTAGCCGAAATAAAACAAATAAGACTTTCTCCTCAAGAAAAATATATTATAAGACATACTGTGAAAGTTTCCTTGCTCTGTTAAACATAATTTGGGAAATATAAAAAAAAAGAAAACAAAAATCAAAGGGGGTTAATAATTATGACGTCAACTGTATATATAAAGTCTGCACATACTCTTCAGTGCCCGACTCTTCAGAAAGCTCACAATGTAAGCAAATCATCCTTAAATTACTGAGCAGAGGTATAATGGTTAAAGAAATATTCCCGTCAGAGCCTGTTGAAAAACACACAGACTCCTTTCTTCATACCAAAAACATCAGCAGTGGCATGAGAAAGCAATGATGTCACTTCAATCCAGACACAGAGCAGGACGGGGGACAAAGAGCTCCTTAGCGAGAGAAATCACTGTTGGAAAAAACAAAAACAGAAGGTTGGTGTTTGTGTGAAAGGAGATTTCCATTGGTGGGGTTAAAGAACAAGCAAAAAAAAAAAGGTTAAGATAGTGGAGAAATGTAGTAATCAATACAAGTAACAGGAAGTTACACTCACAATTCTGGCATAATCGGTTGCAAAGGTTACTCCTTTACTGCTCCTTTCCTGAGATCCGCTGCTGCTGCCACTCATTGAGTTCTTGCGCATGATACCTGAAGTGTGTTTGAGATCATATTAACATATACAGTGCTCAACATATAAGAGAAAACCCCTCACAAATCTCTCATTCAGATTAATATTTTCTATATGAAGCTTTACAACATTATATATGTTGTGCATATACATTAGATTAGTCAGTACTAAAGCCAAATCTGGAGCTTATCTAACAAAATAATGTAGTACATACTATAAGTACATCCAAATTAATATGTTGGAGAAAAATATTAAATATAAAATGGATAAAAGTGCAAGATTTAAAAGTAACAAAACTTTGTAGTTTTCTTTTCCAATATTTACATTAATTTGAATGTATTATCTTTCTATTTCTTAATGGATCACTTGGTGATATCTAAAAATATCATATATGTTATTAAACTATCAGAATTACCATATTTTATCCATAAACTCCAAAAGATAAAAAGTGTTTAATAGTTACATAAAAACATGCAAATAAAAAGCTGCAATAATGTTTGACACCTTTAAGGTATTTACGTACATTAAAAATTAAGGCAACGACTGAACAAGGTATGATCTTCAAGTGGCAGCCTTCAAAATTAAACCAAGAATAGTCTTGTGCTGTAAACATTGTGCTCGCCATTCTCATTAAGTGAGGTCAATGTTAATTAATAAATTAAACAAATAAATAATGACTATAAAAAAGTAATGGTTGTTAAACTGTTGCACTTTTTTGTGTTATAAATAAGCTTGTTTAGTATATATTGGTGTGTGTGCACTCTTGTGTGCAATGTTTGTATGTTTATAAACACCTGTGAGGATAACGGGGGTCGCAAGTCACTGAAATTGTTATTTTGGGAGTCGCAAGCTGAAAAGTTTGGGAACTCCTGGGCTAGATATCACGTTTTGACCACCATTGTAATTAACAATACTTTCCTGAGCAATATTTCTAAAATTGTAACTTTTGAAATAACTGCTCTCTGTAGTTGACATCATCAAGCTGTCTACTTATTTTAACCTCATCAACACCATGATTACATTTAGACAAGTACTGCCCATTATTCATGATCTAATCAACTCTTGATTGATTTGAACACTTAAAGGGGCTTTCACACTTAGGGCTGGGTGATAAAAGAGTACACTGTAAACCCAACAGTCAACTTTATCAAATGAAATGAGTGCAGTTAACTCAAAATTGGCTAAAAGGTAATTCTACTCATTTGAAAAGAGTTTTGAACTCAGTGTTGAAGGTAATGAGCTAACTAAATCCCTCATTACTTAAACTTAAATGGAGTAAGTTCACAGTACTCGTATAGATTCGTTTTTTTACTCAAATGGTTTGTAGCTATTTGTTTCCTCAAATGGTTTGAGTTGACTAAACTTATTGGGTTTTACTTTACTTATTTGGTTTGAGTTCTCTTCATTTATTGGGTTTTAATGTGCTCAAACTGTGTTGTTTACTCAAATGTGTTAAGTTCACAGTTCTCATTAGAATTCGTTTTTGAACTTAAATGGTTTGTTGCAATCGGTTTCCTCAAATGGTTTGAGTTACCTTAACTTTTTGGGTTTTATAGTGTATCAACCATTCCCATTACAATTAAACTCATTAATTTAAATGAATTCATTAAATTAAATGAACATAGGCATGTACTGAAGAGAGCTAGGGCTAGTTTGAATCTAACTTTAGTCTTTTCTTGTTAAAGCCACATTGTTTGAGTACACACATGGTTGTGAATGCAATATCAGTTCAAATGTTAATTTTTTTTGTGGTAATCTTTTGTAGCCTCTTCAATGGTACCTGTAGGGGGCAGTATCTCCAATCTCTGCAAGCTGTTTCTGCGAGAGGTGGGGTATCCGCTGCTCTTAGACAGGCGACGCTGCCGGCTAGACAACATGGCCGCTGGGGAGACGATTCCAGGAGGGGGCACTTTACCAATGCGCTTGTACAGCTCCTCGATCTCCTGCTTTTGTGAGGCCTGGAGGGCCTGAACCTCTTCAACATGTCTGAGGAACACAGAGGAAAATGATGAGGACCAGGGCAAGAGCAGGCATAATTGGTCATGTTAGCACAAATAATTGTGAATATGATCAGTCAATACATATTTGACAAGTTTTTTTTTGTTAGTTAGTTAGTTAGTTTGTTTGTTTATAGCTACATCAGGAACTTATGACTATTCCATGTCAACATCAATATAAAAACATTCTTTCATTTATTCATTTTGTTTTTGGCTTAGTCCCTTTATTCATCTGGGGCCGCCACAGCGGTATGAACCGCCAACTTATCCAGCCTATGTTTTACGCAGCGGATGCCCTTGCAGCTGCAACCCATAACTGGGAAACACCCATACACACTCATTCACACATATACTGTACACTACGGACAACTTAGTCAACCCAATTCACCTATAGCGCATGTCTTTGGACTGTGGGGGAAACTGCAGCACCCTGAGCAAATCCACGCAAACACGGGGAGAACATGCAAACTCCACACAGAAATTCCAACTGACCCAACCGAGGCTCGAACCAGTGGCCATCTTGCTGTGAGGCGATTGTGCTACCCACTGCACCACTGTGACACCCAATTTAAAAACATATAGCATAATAATAATAATTAATGTTTCTTACTTCAATAAGAGATGATAAAAGATTACATTAAAACATTGAATTCAATATATGATAAATAACTTTAAATTCTCTCCGGGGATACATAAAAAAAACACCCACAAACAATAGTTGATTAATAGTTTTTTTTTTTCTATACTATGAAAGTAATTAGTTACTGGTCTTTCAGTAAATCTTCATTTGTGTTCAACAGAAAAAAATTTTTTATGAAGGTTTGGATTCACTTTTTCATTTTTGGGTGAACTACAATAAAAACACAATAGCTACTGTGGGGATAATATGGAGGATTGGGCGACGGGAAAAAATGTCTCAAAAATATCACAATTTATTACAGATTATTAATAGTACAATTTATTTATCTGTCATGATTAAATGATTAAAGTGATATGTCAAAATGAAAAAAAAGTGTAAAATGCCAAATACCTTTGGAATAAATAGGCCACTTGTGCCAGTTTGTTTCAGTTTCAATCTAAAGGGATGCTTCATCCAAAAAAATGACAATTAACTCTCAATTTACTCAATTTACAAGTGGTTTCAAACCTTTACAATTTTTCTTGTACACAAAAGAAGATATTTTGAAGAATGCCAGAGACAAGTTACCATAGTAAGACAAACAAATACTAAGGAAACCAATAGATACAGGTTTTCAGCATTCTTCCAAATGTCTTCTTTTGCATTCAACCGAAGAAAGAAACTCATAAATGTTTAAAACAAAAAGGCTGAGTGAATAATGAAAAAATCATATTTTGGGGTGAACTATCCTCTTAAGAGGATCATTTTGGAGTATGGACAGAAAAGGAGTTCTGCAGAAAACAATAAATAAAAGATTAAATAAAAAAACATGTCAAGTTCTAAAAAAAAATAAATTAATAAAATTAATTTACGGTAAATCATATGTCCAAAACTGAAATATGACATTTCCCACACCTGAATGTGGCATAATTGAAAATGTTTTACAGCATTGAACATGTTCTGACATGTTAAGTTAGAAAAACGATTTATAAAAGGAATCCAACAGTGGTGTCCTAAGTCCTAAATATGAATTAGTTGGATATGAGCTTTTAAATTGTTCTGATGGGCATTGCTGGAGTTTAATAATAATGATAATAATTAATTTTATTTATAAATGGCACCTTTCTGGACATCCAATGTCGCCAGACAAAGAACATGCCAATAACTAATAATAAAACTAGCCAAATACAAACACATCTTAAATAAATAAAATAACATGTGAAGATTATCAAGATTTCCTTAAATCCAGGAAAAGGGAGTTCCACAGCCGAGGATTTGATGAAGCTCTACATACAGTGTGCACAACCGGCAGTAAAGCAAGAGATTGATCAATTTACCACAAACCATACTATAATCTCACCTCTCTCTGAGTTCCTGGAGCTCCTGATACATTTCCTCGTCTTCGCTCTCAGTGTCGTCGCTGCTGGCGTACGATGTGCTGCGTGTGTAACTCATCCACGGCTGATTTAGACTGAACTGAGGACTCCCGGCCGAACTGTCCAGCAGACTCACACTTATCCTCCTCCGCCTCCTTTCTGTCCCCTCCTCCACCTCCTCCCCTATTTCACATCTCTCATCAGGATCTACAACTCTTCTGTCTAGGGATTTGGTTTCTCCAGTCCATACGGGGGCGGTGTCTGCTTTGGGTAAAGTCACGTTAGGCTGCTTGGTGAGTGGTGAGGACTCATTTAGAGAGCTGGGAGTGCTTTCAGAATCCACCTGGACATCTGTGCTGCTGTCTGATTGGCTGTTGTTTGTGGGGGGCGTGGTTTGGGGAAGTGTTTTATGAGATGTTTGGGTTAGCATTGATGTGGATGGAGTTGTGGGGATAGGAGTTTGCGTCAGGCTAGGAGTCGGGTTGGGAGCTTGAATTGGGATTTCCTTGCTTGGACTAACATGGAACCGTCCCACAGTCACAAAAGGCTTTTTCTCTGTGGACAAGGAGACAACAAATTTTTGATCAAGTTATAAAAGAAGATCAATAAAAAAAATATTTTTACATTTTATAATTAAAACTTGAAAGATAAAAATGCTAGCAAAAATCAGATAACAAGCGCTATATACAATCATCCTGAAATTTTTGTTCCCCAACTTCTGTTTAACTGATAGATTTTTGTCAACACATTTTTAAACATAACAATTTTAATAAATAAAATAATTTTTAATAAGTTATTAATTTTATCTTTGCCTTGACGACAGTAAATAATATTTTACTAGATATTTTTCAAGATAATGGTATTAAGTTGTTTAAATGATTCGCCGTTTGTCTGGATCTTTTGCCAGTTCGTATCGATGTCGACACAAAACAATAACAAATATGAAGTGTTGGACCTGATAAAACGTTAACATGCCTTTCCCTTCAAACACTAGCAGAGTTCGGGTGTTTGTGGGACTGATCATGACTGAAGATGAGTGAACATTAATAAGTGAACGCTCTAGTGCAGTGGTTACCAAACTTGTACCTGGAGAGCCGTTGTCCTGCAGACTTTAGCACCAGCCCTAATCAAACACACCTGAACAAGCTAATCAAGGTCTTACTTTGTATACTTGAAACATCCAGGCAGGTGTGTTGAGGCAAATTGCAGCTAAACCCTGCAGGAACACCGGCCCTCCAGGACCGAGATTGGTGACCCCTGCTCTAGTGATTACTGTAATAATCTAACCAGCAAAGGGGGATTTATCCTCGTTTGTTAAAGGAACGATCAGAAAAGACTATTGATGTATGGGACTTTGTCAGAGCTTGACAGGAACTTTATCAGTACACAGTTCTGTGCAGATTATCATTGCAGGAGGGGTTTGGGAACAAATGAATAGATTAACAAATCATTTGGAAGTTGTTGGGATAATTAGATAAAAATAAAAGCATATTAGAAGACAATGAACGTGTTTTTTGACCTTGCATGCGTATCAGCCTGTTGTTGGAAACACCCAGAACCAAAATATGACCTTTTTAATGCATAATAGGGGTTTTAAAGATACATTTAAAGGCTTAACTAGATTAATTAGGTTAACTAGGCAAGTTAATATAAGTTAAGTCTTTTTAAAAAAACAGTGTTTTTTTCTGTAGACAATAGATAAATATTGCTAAAGGGGGCTAATAATATTGACCTTGAAATGTTTTTTAAAAACTTAAAAACTGCTTTTATTCTAGCCAAAATAAAACAAATACGACTTTCATCAGAAGAAAAATATTATAGGAAATACAGTGAAAAAATCCTTGCTTTGTTAAATATAATATGAGAAATACTTGAAAAAGAAAAATATTATTTAAAAAACTGTCTACATAAAAATATATCTGAGCAATGTGTTTAGCATGCAGTAAGCATTTACAGTCGATAGAGGGCAGCTGTGTTTCATTTTGTGGTTATATTTTTTCTCATTATCCAATATAAAAAAATAAGTCGAAGGGAAATTACTTTTGAGTAAATCTAAGCAAAATATTGGGATAAAAACAAAATCTTTATGCATTTTTAATGTCAATTTTATTTATATAGCACTATTAAACAAAGGTTGACCAATGTACTGCACAATACAAATCACAAAGAGAAAGAGCTAAAACAAACAATTCTCACTGGTAAAATGCCAAATCAAAGAGGAAAGTTTTCAACCTAAACTTAAAAACAGACAGAGATGATACAGATCTAATACAGAGGGGCAGAGCATTCCACCATCTAGGACCAGCTACTGCGAAAGCACGGTCACCTCTGCATTTCAGCCTTTACTTAGGGATGCAAAATAATCTCTGGTCTGATGACCAAAGAAACCGACTAGGCTAATGTTCAGTCAACAGTTCTGACAGATAAGAAGGTGCCAATCCATTTAGTGATTTAAAAACCAAGAATTAAAAAAAAAAAAAGTGACACAATAGTGCACAGGCAGCCAGTGCAAAGAGCATAAGACTGGTGTGATGTGGTCATGTTTTTTGGTACCGGTTAATAGACTTGCAGCAGCATTTTGAACAAACTGTAAACAGGATGGAGTTGTCTGACTAATGCCACAATATAGTGAGTTACAGTAGTTCAACCAAGTAATAAAAGCATGATATTTTTTTTCAACATCTTTTTCTAGATAGAATATTTTTGACTGTTTTTAAACATCGAAGCTGAAAAAAGCAGGATTTGACCACTGCATTTATCTGTTTATCAAATATCAAGCCATAATCAAAGATTTTCTAACTGTATGACAACCAGATAGCTGCTGTAGGTGGAAAAAAGCATGTCTACTTTCAGAAAAATGGCATTAATATTGCTTAAACAACAATTACAATGATTTATTTTAGCAGGCCTTTACAAAATATTACCATGAAACCAAAGTATTTCACATTTTTATGATTGCAGGGCAACCGGATATTTGCTGTAGGTGGAGCAATGCATACTTTCAGAAAGATTATTTGTGCTTACACTACTGTTAAAAGCGTATTAGCAAATCTTAACAAGCCTGCAGTATTAAATATCAATATTATTACAATTTAAAATAACTTAATATAACTTAATATACATGGCACATTACTCCAGTCTTCAAGATATTTGCTACAGGTGGAAAAATGCATGTTTACTATCAGAAAGATAGCATTAATGGTGCTTACACAGCAGTCAAAAACTTAATATACAGTTGAAGTCAGAATTATTAGCCCCTTTTGAATTTTTTTTTTCTTTGTTCAAATACTTCCCAAATGATGTTTAACAGAGCAAGGACATTTTCACAGTATGTCTGATAATATTTTTTCTTCTGGAGAAAGTCTTATTTGTTTTATTTTGGCTGGAATAAAAGCATTTTTAATTTTTTAAACACAATTTTTAGCTCAAAATTATTAGCCCCTTTAAGCAAATTTGTTTTTCTTTGATAGTCTATGGAACAGACTATCATTACACAATAACTTGCCTAATTACCCTAACCAACCTAGTTAACCTAATTAACCTACTTAAGCCATTAAATGTCACTTTAGGCTGTAGCGTCTTAAAAAATATCTATTCAAATATTATTTACTGTCATCATGGCAAAGATAAAATAAATCAGCTATTAGAAATGAGTTATTAAAGCTATTGTGTTTAGATATGTGTTGAAAAAAATATTTTCTCTGTTAAACAGAAATTGGGGAAAAAATAAACAGGGGGGCTAATAATTCTGACTTCAACTGTACATGGCACATTATTCCAGCCTTCAGTGTCATGTGATCTGGGTGTGCGGCCTTCATACTGTCTGTCTCTTTGTGTACAAGGTATATAAGGCGTGTACTTATTTTGGGGTGTGTTTGTGTGTGTTTGACAGATGGAAAGATTGCAACTTGCCTTCAGATATAGGTGAGAGTCTGCATTTGGCTGCAATATTAGTAGTAGTTTCAGACACCGCCAGAGACATGGACAGAGTCGGGGAGGACCTTAGGACGGGCGGAGAAACCTTTGGAAACAAGCAGAAAAACATTAATAAAGGTGTCAACTCCAGATGACCTTCTACAGGTGCTTTGAAATATTTAAATGGCATGCAACACCCACACCAAATACTGTACATGCTCAGAACAGGTTTGTCTTATGCTCACAAAGATGCCTGAGAGCAATGTTCCACTTAATAGCACACCATCATATTATTATTAACAGAAACACTTAAAAGAATATCTTCTGTTGATACATGTCATTGTTTAAACGGTACACATTATTAGATAAATGAGTTTAGATTTAGAAGTCTTTTAAGTGATTGTTAACCCGCAAAAAGAAAGGTTTGGGATTGTTTTATACTTTCTCAGGTGGAACACAAAATAATGGGAGACATTTTATACTATAAAACAAACGTAAACATATTCCATGTCAATGTATTTAAATTCTTTTGAAGCCATGGATTAGTTTTCTATGAGAAGTGCCCTGATTGTTTAGTATATTTTCTGCAAGTCTATGCATTTAAAGGGATTGTGCACCCAAAAATTAAAATTTACTCACTGTTAACTCGCCCTGATAGAGGTCTTTTTTCTGTTTAACACAAAATAAGTTATTTTGAAGAATTACCCATTTATTTTTAACAATATCAATTGAATGAACTATAAACATTGTGCACAAAATTGTTCTGTATTATGTATTTCTGTAACTGAGTAGTTATTCTCAGGAATTGTAATTTACAAAGTTGTTTTAAAAATGTGTATTTTACTTTCCCTTGAGTACATTTTTTGTGCTGCATTGATACTTTTTTCACTGTTTTCCAACAACCTGCAGTCATTCCTTTATTTCTTTCTTATATAAGGTGATTGGCTAAAGTAGAAAAATCAGTCCTGTGATTCCTGTCCAATTAAATCGCACATAGAAAGTAAATCGCATTATACTGAACCACGACATGGGCGCTTTATAAATGAAGCAAACCTTTTGGTAGCATTAAAAGTGTCCAAGAAGATGTCCAACATCTTTACACACAATGACCCAGAGACTGTTTTTAGAGTAGACTGCATGTCACTGATGAGAAAATTAAGGATGTCGATAGTATGATGACTGAAATCCCCTTAAACCATCACTAAATGGAACAAATGAAGGAAGGAAGTGGAAATAGAAGGAAGGGCTGAATGTAGAAAGGGCCAAACAAGGAATGAAATGAAGGTTCGAAGGAAGGAAGGAAAGAAGGAAGGACCAAATAAATGAAGGAAAGATTCAAGGAAGGACTGAACAAATTAAAGAACGAAGGAACGAACGAATGAATAAATGAACAGACAACCAAATGAAGGAAGGAACAAAAGAATGAAAGAAAGAATGAATGAGTGGACGGATGAAGGGAAGAAGGGAGGAAGGAACAAACGAAGGAAGAAACGAATTAACAAAAAGAACAAAGGAACAAAGGAACAAACGAACGAACAAACGAACGAACGAACGAACGAACGAATGAGGGAATGAACAAGGGAACAAACGAGGAAAAGAATAAGGGAAGGAATGAGGGAAGGAACAAATGAATGAAAGAAGAATGAGACGAAGGAACGAAGGAAGGAAGGAAGGAAGGAAGGAAGGAATGAAGGAATGAAGGAATGAAAGAACAAAGTAACAAAGGAAGGGAGGAACAAAGGAACAAACGAACAAACAAAGGAATGAACGAACTAAGGAAGGAAAGAATGAACAAACAATGGAAGGAAGGAATGAAAGAACAAACGAATATAGGAAGATCACTAAAACCACAACAGAATGTTACGATTGCACATCCCACCACAAACTGCATGTAGACACATCAACTTTTCACAGCATAATACTCACTTCTCACTACTCCTGAATACCTTTAAATGGGTTACTTTATACTCATACTTGGAGTTATATTTACAACTGATACTTTTATAGTTTAGTGTGTGTGTGTGTGTGTGTGTATATATATATATATATATATATATATATATATATATATATAGTAGTTAATAGTTATATATAGGTTGAAAATAACATTATGTCCAGTGTTGTGTTCATATTTATGATTATGTTTTTTGTTTTACACAGTGGTCCGGTGAGACACGTTTAATTCCCCTGTATGTCCACACATATAGTGCGAATGACAAAAAAACTTAACTTGGGTTGACTTGAATGTTGGAATTCTGTAAGCGTACTTTCATAGATTTTGTTTTTCCTACTATGGAAGTCAATGGTTACTGCTTTTCAGCTTTCTTCAAAATATCTTCTTTTGTGTTTAACAGAGGATGCAATCTCATTAAGGTTTGGAACCATTTGAAAATGAGTAAATAATTTGTAAATTTTTATTTTTGGGTGAACTATCCATTTAAGGTAAAAACTGCGTGTTATTCTGAGCACTCAGTTGTGGAGCATCAGACTGTCAGTAAGTGTCTGTCAGAATAGGCTGTTTGGTGGCACACGTCCCCTCTCTGATCCGATATCCCAGCTGATATCGCATATTGTTTGCAAATATTTAAAAATATGACTAAATGACAGCTGGCTTCTTTCAGTTCCTTCCATACTTGAGTTGTTTGTTTAGTGTTAGTAATTAGTCCAAAATGTGGCTGCGAGACTTCTGACAGATACTCGCAAGCATGAGCACATATCCCCAATTCTTTTCTCTCTAGGCTGGCTGCCTGTTAGGTTGTGGATTAATTTTAAATGATTAATTTTTGTTTATAAATACATTTTTATCTTATTTATCTGATCTCCTACATGTATATAATCATACAGTAGGTTGGTCACTAAGGTCAGTTTATCAGTTGATAAGTTTATTATTTCTGTATCAAGGTCCTGGTGTAAGCGAAGTGGGGATCTGGCTTTTGCTGTTCTTGCCTCAAAATACTAAAACAAGCTTCCACCCCACATTAGACATGCTCCAACTCTATTTTTAAAAACCTTCTGAAACTGCATCTTTGTTATTTAGCAGTTTGAGCCTTTTTAATGTTGATGGGTTTGTCTTATGTTTCATTGTTTTGTATTTGCTGTTTGACTTGTTATTTTAATTAGTATTGATTGTTCAGCACTTTGGGCAACGTTGTCACGTAGTTGAATAGCCAATCAGAGCATGAAAACAAAGGTTAAAGTGACAAAACTAATCAATCAACTCAAGTGAAGAATGAACAGTGGAAAGCTGGCGGTCATTTTTTCATATTTCCTAAATATTTCCAAACAATATAGATTATCAGACATATTTAATAAAAAAACAAAAAACGACCTACACATTCCCTCGTTTTCCTTCAGCTTAGACCCTTATTTATCAGGGGTCACCACAGCGGAATGAACCCCCAACTATTCCGGCATATATTTTAAGCAGCGGATGTCCTTCCAGCCCCAACCCAGTATTGGAAAACAGCTATACACTGTAGCATTAACATATCCTATGGTCAATACCTTCCATATGCATGCATACCCTATGGTCAAGTTTGTTTCAACCTAAACATATTCCATGTATTTATATTCCAACGAGTTTGAAGCCATGCAATCATTTTCAATGAGAAATACACTGACATTTAAGTTGTACATTTTCCTTAAATGTAACTATCCATTTAAGATAAGAGCAGTGTTGTGTGTGTTATTTTGAGCACTCACAGTGTTTTGCGGACTAGCGGATGTGGAAGATGCTGGTGAGCTTGTGCTGGATGTGGTGCGGGAGCTCGACGCTGAACTGTCCGCCCGCTCTCTGAGCTGCCCCAAGGTGGTGGACTGGTTCTCTGCCAGAGGGACACTTTTGCTCACAGGAGAAGGGCTTGGGTTTGTGGGAATGGATTGTTTAACCTCGGGAGTCATGCCTGTTCTTGTTTCTCCAAGAGAGACTGCTTGTGGAGACATCGTTTGTCTCCCTTCTTGAGGTTCAGGAACTTGTGCCAGAATCTGTGTATGTGGATCAGCATATTGGTACATATCCATGTACTGACTGTTCAGTGCCCCCTGGTGGAACTGAGCATCGACAGCGCTCATGCTCGCATGCTGAGGGTACATAGGGCCATACCCAGGCTGAGGGGTCATTTGAGGGTGGAAACCTTGAGGCATGGATCCAGGGGGGATAAAGGACTGTGCAAAGTTCATAGCCAGAGATAGAACATTGGCAAGTGAAATAAAAGGCTGCTGGGAAGGTGGTGGCCACATGCCTGGAGCTTGCGAACCTTGTGAATGAGCAACTCCAGGCGGTAGAGTGCTGGTTTCTGCTTGAGGTGGCATCTCAACGGACTGCTGAACTGGTGAAACCATAGAAGAGGAAGAAGATGAGGAAGAGAAGTTTGGGTTGCTGGGGACACGGGTGAGTGGACTTGGGTTGAGGGGGCTCTTCAGGGAAGCATGGTCCACTTGGTAGGGGTAAGGGGAAAAGTGGGAGTTATGGAAATATGCTGGATTGTTGAACTGAGGGGGCATGGCAGACATCTGATTCGGCAGGTGATGTGGCAGAACATCAGGGTGGGAGAACTGCGAGTAAGTGGGTGCAGGGGACTGGAAGTTGTGGGTTGAACCTGTGGGACACAAAAACAAACAAGCACTCGGTTAAGCTCAATAAGCACATAGCAGTGATGAAATCACTCTTGGTTGCCAATTTGTTTTAATGTTCATCACTAGTAGGTATTCTATTATATGATTCTCAATCCATGTCATCAATATTCACTGTTGCTCAAAAATGCTTTACTAAAAAGTCCCAAAAAAAGATCAAACCAGGACATTTCACCATTTATTTTAAGGAACAAACTAAGCCAATGGTCAGCCATTCTCTGTCAGGCTAGTTTATTTGGTGTATTCCACATGTTGTCTCTCGTCAGGCTAACACAAATATATTAAAATCAATTTATTTTCACTAGTTGTATTAGTATTTTTTTTCAAAGTGTGCTTTAAATGCTTTATAGAGGAGTTAAATCGGTAATACTTTACAATAAGGTTCTTTAGTTAATGCATTTACTAACATGAACTAATCATGAACAACACTTGTACAGCATTTATTAATCATAATTGAATATTTACTAATGCATTATTAACATCCAAGTCCATGCTTGTTAACATTAGTTAATGCACCATGAGTTAACATGAACTTACAATGAACTACTGTATTTTCATTAACTAACGTTAACTAACATGAACTAATACAGTAGTAAATGTATTGTTCATTGTTTGTTCATGTTAGTAAATGCATTAATTAACATTAACTAATGAACCTTATTGTAAAGTGTGACCGTTAAATCTTTGACTACAAATATATGTACTGTATATCGTTTACTTTAAAATGCGGGCAATACATTATAGATTCATTTTATTTTAAAAACATTATGTTATTCTTATTTTTTAATTTAACAATAGGGGTGCGACCAGGTGGGGGCCTACAAGACATTGTGCCCAGGGGCTTCTGATTTCTTAATCCGGCCTGGCTCCATCCTTAATCAAACACACCTAAAAATTAGGATAGTGGCCCTCCAGTACCAAGCTTGCCCCACCAGTCGAAATGAACAAAACTACAAAAGAAAATTTGCCAGGTGTATGAAACAAAATGAAAACTCAAAGGGATGACCATTGTGCTTGACCTTCAAAAAAGCTCCATAAACATCACTATGGCATAAAACAAAGTCACAAAGTGTTTTCCTGACTTTAACACCAGACGCTCTGTGCCAGTTCTGTACTTCCAGTGCAGATATATCGGCACAATGATTTGTCACCATGTGAGAAAAGAAAAGACCCTTCATACTGAGCGCAGGCTGTGCAATACGTGTAGTTTGTTCTCTCAGGTAATGAAATCTTCTCGTTCATTTTGAAGCAGCAGGTGACAAAAGCAAATCCTGAGACACGTCAACAATGACACTGGCGGCAAAGCCTGGTTTCCATAGTGATGGACGTTTAGACAGCCAATCGCAGACTGAGATGCACAAGATACTGAGTTTGCTCCAGTAGCTTCGCAGCTAATGGTGAGCACAGAGAGAAACAGGGAAAGTGCTCTTAGTAACACTGACATTAGCAAAGGAAACAAGATGAAAGAGACAGGGAGAATGTTCATTATGACACCCTTCGCACCCTGAATGTTCCCAAAGGGTCCAGACTGTACTGACAGAACATAGATCTCATTACCCAGGACGACAATGATTGGCTCTGATTGTGGAAGCTGGCGATATGAAAATGTAAATGATCCGAGCTTCCTTTGTTAACATTTAGCAAAAATGGGATTAGTTACACGAGTAGAATAGATGACTAAAATACACCATGAGGGTGTTTATCAACAACATTTTGCAATGTATGCTTTTAATAAATGAATTATTAGATAAGCACAATCTACAAACTCATTGTTTGACAGAAAAAAATGCCTTTATGTATTTGACTTGATTCAACCAGCACACCACTACAGGCATAAAAACACTTGCTATTCATTAAATTTGACTGAATCAGCATTGTTTATTATTAATACACTGCAAAAAATAATTGTGTAATCTATAAATAAATAAATAAATATATATATATATATATATATATATATATATATATATACTAAATTATTGTTTATATGAGATATATATCTATCTATATTTTTTTTATAATTTGTTCTAAAGTAAACGAAACTTTGATTAAGAATATATATATATATATATATATATATATATATATATATATATATATATATATATATATATATATATATATATATATACATACATACATACATACATACATACATACATACATACACACACACACATACATAACATACATACATTACATGCATACATATATATATATATTCTTAATCAAAGTTTCGTTTACTTTAGAACAAATTGAAAAAAAATATATAGATAGATATATATCACATTTAAACAATAATTTAGTAGTCAGTTATATATAGTGACTTAAAAATAAGGACATTAGTAGCAATAAAATTAACAAAAGAGCAACAATATATGGTGTGAAAAGTCCCAGTTAGATGGTTTCCACTGACTTCAAATGAATGTTTATTTAAAGACCCCCTATTATGGATTCTTGAATATGAACATCCATGCAGTGTGCAACACCGCTCTAAGTGAATGAAAACATCCAGCTGAGGGTAAATTTGAAAGTGCACCTTGTTAAAAAATAATGATTTTTTTAAATAAAAGATTTGTTTAAATGATTCGCCATTTGTCTGGACAACGTGAATGCACGTTTCCCTTCAAATGCTAGCAGAGTGTGGGAGTGTGTGGGACTGATTATGACTGAAGATGAGTGAACAATAATAAGTGAAAGTTCTGGTGATTAAACCAATAATCCACCTTGCAACAGGGATTTGTCGGCTGTCTGATAAAGGAACGATCTGATGTATGAGACTTTGTCAGAGCTTGACAGGAACTTTATCAGTAAACAGTTCATAGATCAGTTTCTTCCTCCATTTTACAAGTGCAAGTGTGTGCGATTAAAATGGTTGCCTCCTTGTTTTCTCTAACTTGCAAAATATGTATTTAATTGTGTTACTTGTAATCCAATTGATCCACGCAGCTTGTACTGTATCTGGTTAACTCTTTATATTCACATATCGCATCTAAAGCCATGTTGAAACTGTGGCGTGCCGCTTTCTTTAAGGATTTAAATGTGTTTGTGAGCTTGCAGTCCTCTGCTGTTTGTCATTGCTATGGCCACCGCAGCTGTTCCTACACACATGCAATGGTTAAGTTTTAAAATATTTCAGCAGGATTGGTTTGGTGTGGAATAATAATGAATGCGTGTTGTTGTTTCTACTTATGGTTTAGAATAGAGCAATATGCTGGTGTTTAATTGCATTGATTTATTGCACACCAGCATTCAGATGTGTGCATTCAAATGTACTCTGCACTCTAGCTACTTTAACGATGTTAATAAGCCATAGTGGGCGGTTCTTTTCGTCTCCTGCTGAACACAGTCGACCAATTGCAACAGACTGGGTCATTGGACCAATCAGCGCACATTAGCATCGGGAGGGGTTTGGAAACAAATGAATCACAGAACAAACCACATGGGAGTCGTTGGGATAATTAGGTAAAAATAAATGCATTTTATAAGACAATGAAAGTGTTTTTTGACCTTGCAAGTATATCAGCCTATTGTTGGAGACCAATATATGACATTTTTTTAATGCATAATAGGTGCTCTTTAACCCTTGCCATGTTAAAAGTTATGACTGAACTTGATAAATGTTGAGGTTTATAGTAATTATCAACATGTCACTCTGAAAACTTTTAGTATTATCATATTGTACCTGTAGTGTGGAAGGATTGTGAACGCAGAGGACGGACGGGTGGAACGGCATCAGGATCAACATAAAAGTCGGCACTTAGAGTAGGTGAGGAACCCCGAGTCAATGGACCAGCAGCATAATCTGAAGGACACACACAAAGGTCTAAATTTGAAATTGAGCAAAATGACATTTTCTAAAACCAAATAATACAGTATCTATACATTTCTATATATGAAATTATATATATTTTAATTTTAGATTGTAATAAAGATCATTTAAACTCTTTAAAGGCAAGATACTGCAGGAGACAATAACCTTTTTAACGCACCTTTCAATTTTGAGACTTTTGCTTTTTCGTATATTTTCACACTTGATCTTTTTTTATTTTTAGAATTTATTTAAAATTAATATTTTTTTAAAGGTTGTTTTCTCAAAATTAGTTTTTTTGGTGCACTGAGCCATAAGTGTTCAGCAGACTGTTGTCTGTTGTTCATGCATCATATGCCTGATTAAATACAAACATGTATCAAGCACAGTGTTAACAGTAGTTACTACACAATGATATACAAAATCCCTTCCGTAAAAACTACTGCTGTCAAATCATTAAACGCAATGAATCACATCAAAGATAAAGTTTGTGTTAACATAATATATACAGGTGTATATTTATTTATATATGCATGAATACACACACATACTGTACATAAAATACCAAAATATAAAAAAGAAATACATTTACATATATATTTATACATAATTTGTGTATATATATATATATATATATGTATAAAACTAAATATTTTAGAGAATATAATTATGCATATATTTATATACACAAAAAAAAAACACAGCACACAAATATATTTAATAATAAATATGAACTTTTATTTTGGATGTGATCAATCGTTTGACAGCAACCCACAACATTCTAATGTCAATAAATGAAAGAATTCAGTGTTTTTTATTTTTGTCCTACAAAGGATATGCATATTAATTAATAAATAATGAAACTATGTCTCATCTGCATATTTTAAAATTAACATTTTAGAAAACTTGTAATACAAAAAAAGTACCCATTTCTTACTTTAATCAATCAACTGTGCAAGTATGTTAATGACTATTAGTTAATATTTTTACCCTATTCACCTGTCCTACAGTTCTGCCTTAAGCCATATAAAATATACTACTACTGTAATACAATTGTAGAATTGTTTTTGCAAAGCCTTTACAAAGCTTTACATGATCAGTGTTTGTGCATACACGTGTTTATTACCTGGCAGTGAGGAAGAGGAGTGTGTGCGAGCGAGGCCCTGTGTGTAGAGATTGGGCTGTGGGCAAAAACAGAAGACACACGCTGGCATTAACGTCACCATCAAGAAAAGTGATAAAGTTACAAACATGTGTGAGAACAGATAAGGAGATTGTCGCACAAGCATGTATAAAGTCTACTATCTCACTATTCCAGAGGCCTTTCTTACTAATGACTGTTCAATATTGATGGCCAACTTCTCTTATTACAATCAGACATGGCGTCTTTGTTCAGGATTTGTTCTCTGTAGCATGATGAGAGCCGAAGATTGGATTTCTGAACCACTGAGACTGAACTCCACACACTCAACAAATAAACAAATAAAAATAGAAGGGATTTTAAAAAATACAATAAAATGGCAACATTTAATTTAAAAGTGCTACAGTGTTTGATAAGATGTGTGTGTGGGTGCACAAGTATTCAATGTAGTTTCTTAATATGGTATACTATATAATAATAAAAAATATTATTAGTAAATCTAATGTTAATCAAATGTGATAAATAAATAAAAAAAACCCTACAATTGCTACATCATGATAAAATATTAAAGCTCCTGTGTGGAAACCAGTGGGAACTATTTCAACATCAAACTGCAACTGTTTATAAAAGGAACATTTGTTATATATACTGTACAGACACACACACACACACACACACACACACACACACACACACACACACACACACACATGTATATATATATATATATATATATATATATATATATATATATATACAGTTTAAGTCAGAATTATTAGCTCCCCTGAATTATATTTTAATCCCCTGTTTATATTTTTCCTCGATTTCTTTTCTTTTGATTTTCCCACATTTTACTTTCAGATCTTCTTACACAATTTCATTAAAAATTAATTATTATGTATTATTACTTACTATAGTAATTACAGTTAATTAAGCATAATAACATGCTAATTACCACATAGTAAGTATGTGCAATTAAATATTATTACTCAATAGTTATATGAAGTTACACTGTAACAACAACACTATAAAATAAAATGTCACCAAAAACTATATTAATAGTACTGATATATAAATAAATATGAAAGAAAGAATATATAATTCCAAAAAATGCAAACATTCCATAGTTTCTCAATCCTAATGAAAATTAGAATTAATCAGATCATACAAGTGTGCTTATGTAAACATATAAAAAAATATCAAATACTAAATGATATATAATGTCATGTTCAATGTCCTTATTTTTGTGCTACATATGCAAATGATTACATATTGATTAAATTAATGGCTAATTTGCATATTTAAACAACATAAAACATGTTTGTTTATAAAAAAAAATCTTAACATAATTAATTATCTGGACAATATGGAAATAGCTTTATTTACATTATTTACCTGAGGTGTCTTGCTTTAAAAAAAAAGTCACTACATGTGCAATTGAGAAAAATAAAAATAAAATAAATAAATACACAAAAAAACAGAAAAGCTGAGAAGTGCCGTCTGAAATTTCAGTTGAAAATGACATTTTATTCAACCTCCTTTGTTAATGCTAATTTATTTTACTTTAAAGACCGTGGAAATAACTTATTTTTGCCATAAATGTAAAATTACTGAATAATAAATGATATTTATTTTTACATTACTCTTTTACAGTAATAAAAACCCACACTTTTTACCATATTAATACTGCATCCTATAGAAATATTAAAACAAATTAGAGTAAACAAAAGAGTAAACAAAAGAAAATATATTCCACAAGATCAAACTAAAACTGATGAAACAAAATAAATATAAAATTTATAATTATGTAAATATGTCATACACTTTTAAAAAATGACTTTGCAAACTAATTATTTAAAATACGTTTTTCTGTGACCACTTAATTGATTTGCGGTGTACAACAAAGGAATTGTCTGGAACTCAGCATATTTTACAGTGTACAATAAATATATAACATGCTAAAGTGGACACACAAACACACACCTGTGAGGCGGACAGAGAGCCGACTCCGCTCAGGTAATTGAGATGAGCAGTGTCTGTCGACCCCAGCGGCTCTAAAGGCTCTCTCCTCATCAGGGCCTCTGCCCGACGAATGATGTCCCGCATGCGGTGGATGAATCCCTCCTTCTCCCCAGGTAGAATAAACTCATTAAGTACCTAAAAAGGATGCAAGGTTAATTGGGTTGATGTCATTTTGAGGCGTCTCTCATGCAGACTTACTTAATGAGTTCAAAGATCTGTTTCAAAGACACTGGAAAAAAATGCAGAGCAGCGACACACAACTATGAACAAAGCCGTGCACTCATAATGAGAGAAACACTAAGGCCTATACTTAAAACTCCTCTAAATCCAGCCTCAAGGCCACGGACAGGCAGATCAAAACAACTGCAAGCATAAAGAAGCCAAAGTATGCAGCCAACAAAAAATATTTTCAGCGTCGCTATTAAAAACTCATTCACCCCAGATTACATAAATCTATTTTCTGTTTGTTTGTTTTTGCCTCAAATCGGTATATTGGCAAAAGTTAAAGTATTTTTAGATTCTTAAGGCAAACGTGCATTTTAGTTTTGAGATTTAGCTTTTTTTATGCTTGGATACAGACATTTTCTTTTTATTTTCATGTAAAACAATATCCAAAATACATTTTTGACCATTTATTTTGATGCACATTATAATTTGTATATGCAGATTTAAACTGAAATACATATTTAAGGCTGTTTTCCAAAATATGTTTGTTCTTCGCCTGTGCTGTGCTAAATATTCTGTTTGACATCTCTTACACAAAACCTCACATTCTTATTCATATCTATATTCAAGGGTTTTTAATAAGCCTTTTTTTGTTAAAGATTAGTACATTTATACATAATTTGCCTGCATATATGCAACAGTTTATTCTGCACTTAAAAAAAAATTAAATCATATAAAGAGACATTCTCAAAAATCCCCTCTGTAAAACTTTCCAAAGAATTTAACAAAATTTAAACTTGGTTTCATTAATCAAGTGTTATTAAAACACTGGCATATTATTTCAAGTGATCCCACCCTAAAAGAATGCTTTGAAAATTTACCTTGTTTAGTACAAAAAAGTATATCTAATATTCTTAAATAATATTCCACTTCGCAATTTTAAATGTGACAATTGTTTACAATTCAATGCTACAAATAAAACAGTAACTTTTACACATCCCATAGAGCTAATAATTTTGAGGTAATATTGACTCGCAATGCAATAACTAATGCAAAAAAACAGAAATATAGATTTTAATAATGTACAAGTAAATGTTGAATGTTGAAATGTTGACAAGTACTGTTCATCACTAGTTTATGTTAGGATGCAACAATTAACCAATTTCACTATCAACCGCGCTTTAATTCCTCACAGTTAATTAATCATAAAAGCTTCAACACCACATTTCAGCACAGAACAAAACTGCTGCAACTAATAAATTTACGCAAACTGTGCGCTAGTTTAATCTATCTGTGCCCATGTGGTTTGTGTTATGTTGGTAAAACAAGTAGGCCTTTAAAAATTGTTTCTGAACAACGATGCACTATTCACCATCATGATCCTAGAAGTCTAGTTACGCAGCATTTTTTAGTTATGAGACATTCTGTCACCACTCTACAATGTATAGGGATTGAAGTTTTTAAGTGCCAATGTAGATCTTAATAAATCACTGTTACAACGTAAAGCCTTATGGATTTTCACTCTAGATACATTGTCTCCAGGAGGTATAAATAAGGAGTTTGATATTTTTCCTTTTCTTTAATGTTTAACTTGTTTGGGTAAAGTTTGTTTGGCTATATTTAGTTGTATTTCTTTGTTATATTCTGTTATGTTTTTTCTTTATTTTTGTGTGTTATTATTAGGATTTGTTGTGTAATTTATAAATATGTATTCTTCTATTTTTGTTGTGAGATCACGTGATCTTGAAGTGTATAAAAAAAAAAGCAACATACTGTGATGAACACTGTCTGATGAAGTGAAGTGGGCTCGAAATGTTACACCCCTTGTTTCACCCTTTTTAATTTTATAAACTGGCATTTTTGAAGCTTTGGTGTTGCCGCCTTTTTGAACATATATTTTTAAACTTAACTTCATCCATTGTCCATATTTATATGTCGATATATATATATATATTTTAAATATATATATTTTATTTTTATTTTTATTTATATGTCGATATATATATATATATATATATATATATATATATATATATATATATATATATATATATATATATATATATATATATATATATATATATATATATATATATATATATATATATATATATATATATATATATATATATATATTTTAAATATATATATTTATTTTATTTATGTATATATATGAGTTAAATATTTAAGTTATTGCATATTTAACAAAGCAATGCCTCATTTCAGTTGCATATAAAACCTGTGTAATCAATCATCCAGGTCAAAATGACAACGTTTACTTTACTTAAATGAAATGTCTTGCTTCAAAAACATGTCACTACACGTGGATTTAAAAAATAAATAAATAAATGAATAAACACACACATTCATACACAGAAAGAGGCCAAAAATACATATTCTTCTGATTTTAGCTCTAACTAATAATTTGCAAAGAAACATTTCATACTAGTTTGAAGTAACAAACCAGTTCTTCCATTCCTGTAGGCTAAGATATGTCTAAAATAGCTGACAGGTCACAATGATCACATAGGAACTGCTTTTCCACTGGTAAGTAAGATGCTAAATGTTTTAGACGAGAAATGATGTGTAGATTTTCCACTGTGTGTCTGAGGTTGCTGAGCAAACACAGAAGCTGAGACATCAACATTTCTCACGGTAAAATGCAGTTCTCACAAGAAGAGACACCTTATCTGTGACCTTGTGTTCACTTCGACCTCCATAACTTACGGACATTCAGTGGAGTAGTAGAGGAAACGGTTGTGATGTACATTTATATTAAAAAACTACCTTATATCCACTTATTTTTTTCTTAATACTCTATATTTTTTTCATTTGAAGGCTGAATATGTCTGGCTTTAGAGGTTATTCTCTTTAAGTGAAGTCTAGCTGTACAAAATAGTCCATTTTGTTGTATTTCCCTGCAGCTGCTAATGAATTCAAATTCTTGTACATTCACAGAAAACAGCTTGTTTGCACTCTTACATGTAAGGTGGATAAAAAATGACAAAAGTACTTACAATTTATTATATTTTGACCTATGATTTACAAAATTGTTAACGAGAAATTATAAACTATATTATATGTACATGCCGTGGTTGTGCTTGGCTGCTTGCCACATAAGTAAATAATTAGACATAGTAAATTATATATCACTTATTGCAAAATAATGCTGAACGTGAGAAAATTCTAAGAAGAAACCACAAATATTCTAACTAAATGAAAAATATGTTTTATTTTTTGGTTTATTTTATGTTGTTTTGAGATTGTTACTAGCAATACTATTTTGTTTTCAGAGTGGTCTCCCCTTCCCCTTTCATATCTATCTGTGGTTTATAAATATGTTCATGTGGTTTATTCATTTATTTTCCTTTGGCTTAGTCCCTTTATTTATCAGGGCTCGCCACAATGGAATGAACCACCACTTTATCCAGCATATGTTTTATGCAGCGGATGACCTTCCAGCTGCAACCCAGTACTGAGAAACATTTATACACAATCATTCACACACATACACTACAGCCAGTTAATTCAATTCACCTATAGTGCATGTCTTTGGACTGTGAGGGAAACTCACGCGAACACGCGGAGAACATGCAATATCCACACAAAAATCCAACTGACTCAGCCCCGAGTTGAACCTGCGACCTTCTTGCTAACCACCGAGCCACCATGTTGCCCATTTGCGGTTTATATTTATATTAAATTAAAAATAATTAGCTCACCATGACTGTGGCAATGTCTTCAGGGTTGTCTCCGTCCAGATCGAATTTAAATGTCACCATTTTGCTGTTATGTGTCTGCAATTGACACTCCACAACCCGGTCCACTTTATCTGATAGCTGCATGAAGAAACACACAGGAAGAAAATGATGAAAGAGCATTTATATGTGGGAGTATTATTAAAATGCAATTATTAAATGATCTTAATTTCACCTTTAACATAAACAATATACAATCACAATGATCACAGTTTAACGCACAGGAATACAACTACAACAATCTTTTTTCTGAGTTGGTTACATTATAAACCCGAAATTGACATAAACCCTGCCTCCAGGTGTGATGTTTCCTCTTACTGTATGCATTTTATGTGGTTGACCAATCAGAACACAATGGGCCAGGTGTCCAATCACAGCCCATTGCGTTTATCTAGGGGAGGGGCTTATTTAAACAAAAAAAAAAAAACTGACTGTTTTTAGAATAACAAAAACATTAGTGTAAAATAGAGATAAAATTGTATGATGATAAAAAAATACAAACAAATCATGATTACATGATACAATGCATCTCTTTAACACAATCAAATCTTTGACAATGACTAATTAACCAACCTTTTAAAATCTGTGTCAAATTCTTCATATTATTTTTTTAGGTAAACAATTAATCCATGCTAATTAACTAACAGAACTTTCAACTTTCAACTGACCATTTGGTTCCGCATTTGGAGTAGCTGTCCTACTCTGATGTCATCAGTTTGACAAGCCACAATATACTTAACCACGCCCCTCTTGTTGTTAGTTTGCTATAAGGGAATCATGCTTAGGAAAGCTCCGCCTCTTACTTAATATTTCATTTCAGTTGGAAGAACATACTTTCGGTTCACACGGATATTAAACAGTGTTGCAAACTTAGGGACTTTGTCAATATATATTTAAGGACTTTTCAGACCCTATTAGCGACAAATTTTCAAAAAAGGGACTAGCGACAAATCTAGCGACTTTTTTGGTGTTACTAGAGATTTTTATAGACTCTCATGCATCCACACTTTACCGTTCCTATTCTTCTCAATGAGCTGTGATTTCATCAGCCCCTCCCCTGCCTTTAAGTGCTCACAGGTGGCCCAGTCCTCACACATCAGTCTCTCCCACTGAGATACAACTGTTTTAGATTCAACTTGATTGTTTATTTTTTCTTGTTCACAATCACAGAGATTTTAGTGACACCAGTTTCAGAACTTCTGAGTTTATTATGTCTGAGATTTCTGAAAATTCACTACACATCTACTGTATTCGAAGTGCATTTATTTAAATTGACATGAATATATAAATTTAGTTCAACTATAAATACCCCTTTATTAACCATAGGCTGTTAAACAAACAGAAACTGTTGGACGTGATGACGTCAATAGAATGCAAATTGATGCTTGACGTAATCAAGTGACATTTAGCGACTTTTCAAGCAGAGCTAAGCGGCTTTTCATTTAAAATAGTCGGGAAACAATGATTCTAAATTCAGCTATTCATTTTTGGAGTTTGAATTTTTGAGTTTTTATAAACATTAGCAGGTGCCTTAATTAACAATAGATAATTGACTGATGAGTCACCCCAGTGATGCGTAGCCGTGAGCGAGCCCTCTTCCTGAGAAGCTTGGTTCCTGTGCGTTTGCTTTGACCTTTTCCGGCCCTCTCCGAAAGGCCCTCGTTTCCGTCACTCAAACCTGAGGTGACATCAGAAGCGTAGCTGTTTCGAGAGGAAGGACATAAAAGAGAATGTGACCATCAGACATCCTGAATTTCACAGAACTGGACTTAATGGAATTCATTTCTTGTACCATTTTACCATTAGCAAATAAAGACCAGGTAATTTTACGATAGATGTTTTAATTCAGGTTGGGCTAATTGAGTATAATACAGCTTGTGTACTCATTTAACCATATGCTACCTTTTGCTTGGCTTCCTACAGAAATGGACTTCAGGGTAAATTGCTCCCTTGAGCTCAATCATTACCATTAATGGACCAACCTCTAGGCTCTGCATAGTGTGTTTGTGTGTGAGTGTGTGTGTGTGTGTGTGTGTGTGTGTGTATGAGTCACACAAGGACAAGAACTGCTGTCCACTGGAGCACTACAGATATTAAAGGTACACGTGGCTCAGTGTTGGTGGATCAGTGAGTAAGATTACAGCTCTCACAGCTGGGAGCAGATTCACGTTTACTTGACGACAAACAAAAGCCACATCTACATTTACACACACAGAGGGAAGTTTTATTTAGAGAAGATACTGTATATAAAAGAATGTTCTTGTATTAACTGCTTTTTTAGAGCTTATAATAATAATAATAATAATAATAATAATAATAATAATAATAATAATAATAACGAACCCCCAAATTTCTGATGATTTCTGATTCTCTTCTGGAGTTTTTCCTTGGAAATTAATTTACCTCATTCAGTACAATACAGCAAGCCATAATACAAAGAAAATAATTCATTTAAGACTACAGTCTCACTGTGAAATATCAAAATGTGTCAAATATATTTAATAATTAAACTATCATAGAAGTTGTATCCACATCATATCCACATCATAATGATCACTACAAATGTTTTTTTTTTACTGCTGTTTTCTTAGGGGTCAATCAGATCGAACACGCACTTTACATTGAGAGGTGCGTTTTTTTAAAGATTTACTAACGGCTGTGTTTTTGCTGTTGGGTGCTGTGTGCCTGCAGTTGAAAAAAATGTAAACTCTGAGCAGAAAAAGCACACTACGCCAGTCATATCTTTTCCTTTGAAGTTAAAGCAGTGTTTGTGTTGTTAAGACGACTACAGAGACTTTTAAAAATAGAGGAGAGACTAGTGGTTGCTGTTTTGAGTTACTTGGAGCTGCATGACTTCACGAATCTTGAATATTACAATATTATTAAATACTCAATTCAATTCAATTCAATTCAGCTTTATTTGTATAGCGCTTTTACAATGTAGATTGTGTCAAAGCAGCTTCACATAAATGGTCATAGTAACTGGAACAGTGTGGTTCAGGTTTTAGTGTTTAAGTTCAGTTCAATTCAGTTTAGCTCAGTTCAGTGTGATTTAATCATTATTGAGAGTTCAAACACTGAAGAGCAAATTCATCGATACTAAATACTAAAATTATAACAACATCAACAGTGGCACAATACACAGCTGATTAAGTCATTGTCTACTGACATAAAAAGCGCACTGCACTTCTGTTTTTCTTAACAAATCTTACAGCTGTCGTTTTTGGTGTGTTTATGGTAGAAAAGAGAGCAGCAGCTATTTGTTCATCTAAAGGGTTTGTGTGGATAGCATCTGGATAACCCTGCAAAGATACTTCAAACATTTTACTTCTAAGCAAAAAACAAAAAGGAACTTTGATGCGAGTATATCAGGGCATTGAATTACATCTCTTGTATGTGACATGTACTATAAATAAATAAATAATATAGCCATACACCACATGTACATGTACCATACAGAACTCTTTGTTTTTCCTATTACAGGTGTTTATTGTTACAGGCTTTCAGCTGTCTTCGAAATATCTTCCTTTGTGTTCAACAGAAGAAAGAAACTCATATAGGTTTATAACCACTTGTACTTGAGTATGTAGTGAGTAAATTTCCATTTTTGGGTGAACTATCCCTTTTTACACTTCCTGTTTAAATAGCTTGCTCAAAGCTGTTCATAAAAGGTACAGAACATTAGAGGTGAACCAATTTGAACATATCATCAGTTTAGTGCATAGAAAGAAGTAAACACAGTTCATCAGAACTCAGCTCACCTGTCAACAGGAGAGGAAAAACCACTGGCACTTCCTGACTGCGCCTTCTCTGTGTTTTGGAACACAGCAATACTCTGTTGGAGAAGCAATGTTGAAGAAAAACATAACTCAGATGAGGTAAACCTCATTCAAATAAACATTTGATTTGACCATTTAAACACATTTAGGATACTTTAAGATTGCTATAGTCTCTTATAGTTTCTTATTAGTCACTAAAATTATGATTTTTTTATTTGACTTTGAATTTTTGTTATATAAATACATATTTAAAAGACTATAATCCTTTAGTCAAACATATACCAACAAACCCTGCAGTATAAATAAAGGAATAATATTCGAAATATGTAAAACATTTCTGCATATTATAACTTTGTAAATATTTTATTTTGTTCCTGCAGTTTCAAAGCTACATTTTTTTGCAGCAATTACTTAGAAAATATTATTTCTGCTGAATTATTTTTAAAGAATCTCTGGAGTCTTTGGACTTCAGAATGATCAGAATGCTAAAATGAAAAGCGTTCTTTTGAAATAGAAACCTTTCATAGCACTATAAGTGCAATTACTGTCAGCTTTAATCAAACAAATGACATCTTTTTTAATAAATTTATTAAAAAGAAAAATTGTTGGTTACACTTTATTTTAAAGCACAATTCACACTATTAAAACAACCCATTAAATAATAGTAGATCAATAAACTACCAATTAACTGTTTATAAATAGTAAGGCAGTAGTTCAGTTCAAGTATTGGGTAGTATTAGGGATGTAGAATAAGTTTATAATAAACTACTAAACAGTTAATATCTTAATAATAGACAGGTAAAGCCAGTAGTAAATAGGGTGAATTGATACATAAACTAAAGCAGGCGCGTGTCCAGGGGGGATTCGGATGGTTCAAAAGACCACCTCCAGATTTTGGCCCCTATATAAGCTCATTTGTCCCCTTTTAATAGGCTGGCTACTGGCCTGTAAAGTGTTTTCAAAATTGCCACTGACTCCTATTTTTTAATTATTCCATCATTTTAAGCATCTACCAGTAACCTACCGAGGGAAAGCGGAGTGCTGGGATGGCTGGAGTAGAAGGGGCTTCAGTAGGAGGAGCCTCAACAGGTGGAGTTTCCACACGAGGTGCTGCACTGGGCAGTGATGGAGCTGTGGAGGGTTGGTTTGCTAATGGAGCTCGAGCTTCTGAAAGCTCCTGAAGACCAGAGGAGCTGAGATAACCATCCGTCTCACAGTCAGCTGCGATAACCAGAATTAAAAAAACAAGAAGAAATTGTTTGTTAGTGTGTATTATATCTTTACCTTTAGATTGAATGCATCATGTAGAATAGAAGTATGCATAATTGAAGTATGAATTTCATTAAAAACATCTCACGATGTTTAATTTTATAACACATTTTACGACAGCCAAATTTGATTGACTATATAAGCAGTTACAGTATGAAATGGAATCTCTAGACAAACAACCAAGGAGGTCAAATGCTGTTTCAAATCATTCTAGTCTAATTTACAGCCTTAGACTTACATACGCAGACATTGTTTAAAATGCAATTTACCTTTTCTAAATTGGCATGTAAGTTAGTAAACATTCTGTACATGCAAATGGTCCAGTAATACATGTATGCTGACATACAGTGTGGCAACTGTTTATCCAATAATGAGTAAATAACATTGGGAAAAGGTCACGAACAACATGTCTGAAGGTGTGGTTACTAATGGAATGCAATGTGTTTATATATAGCGCACATATAAGGTACTGTATGACCATGCACCCAAATTGCTTCACAATCATGTCGCTTCACAATCATCCACTTGGATGATGTGACGGCAGCCACATGTGGATCAACAAATTTGTTAATCTGCAACAACAATCCAATCAGCCAGTCAGATATGTGGATAAGGTTACAGTTAATATCAAGTTTGGAACTTCTACATTGTTCTACATCTTAATTAACCAATAATTTTCTCTATTTAGAAGCAGGTCCGATTTGGTAAAAATTATGTATTGTAAACAAGAATGTGTTACAGGCATATTTAAGTAAGATCATGGCAACTTTGCTTATATAACCATGAGAGTTTGGGTTTCATTCAGGTGTGTTGTTTTACACATTGCTGCCTATCAAAAATGTTGAAAATGATGTGGGCGCTGACTTGTGTATGCAAAAGAGAAGAAAAACTCACATGTTGCTGATGAGTAGCTGGCATGGCGTATGTTGAAATGCTGCCGCTGGTCTGCATCTGCTGGTTCCTCAGGTTCAGTTGCAAAGCTAGCATTGAAGCCAGAATCCAGAGATTCATTTGCAGGCAGGGGGGTAGGGCCTGACACTGTGACTGTGGGCGGAGCTTGAGTAGGGGCAGATACAGGCGTCTCTACAGGAGGTCTAAGAGCAGGTGCGCTGGAAACCATAGATTCAGTTTCAAAACTAGGTTCTGGTTCCTCCTCAATCACCTCCTCTTGACGTCTTATCAGCTCTTCTCCAACATGTCGGCGAAGCTTCTCTCGTTGTCGCTTTATGGTGGTAACACGGTCTCGAATGGCTTTGGCCACAAGTTTATAATCGGCCTCACAGACGAAGCCAAGAACAACCTGCAGCATATGAATTAGGATTATTTTTGCTCATTTGTTTGGGAGTTGAATGATTAGCGGATATTTGGGATCTCACCATCTCCTGAGCCACCTCCTCCGGGACGTCCTTGTAGAGTTCAAACAGGAACTCAATGGCATTGTTGTCCTTATATTTGCCATGAAGCTTCTTGGTGTCGTCCATTCGAAGCCATAATTTAAGGCCAGACTTCACCATGTCATCTTCCTCAGCCAGTTCAACATGGACACCATTATTCTCCTGGAAGAAGGTGTGCTCTAACAGGTCCTGGATGGTGTACCTAAATAAGGAGACAATTCCAAGATGTAGAAAACCAAAACTCCCAAATTCTCTTGTTGTTTTGAAAATGATCTCCCTGTTAATGTAAACTCTAGAACAGGGGATCCCAAACTCGGTCCTGGACGGCCAGTGTCCTGCAGAGTTTAGCTCCAACTTGTAGCATAGAGTTAATTAAATCAACACAATTAATCATAAGAAAAACCCTGCTACTGGATGTAGTGAATCACTACGAATAGCCATTGACCAAGAGCTTCACATAATGGCTGGGTGACATTAAATGGATTATTATTCAGCCAGAAATGTGTTAAGCTGAATTAATTACACCCTTTTAAGGATATTTAAGTAGAACAAAAGCAGGGAGATTGAGTGCCTCGGGGGGAGAACAGGTTGGTTGCTAAAAGAAAACTGAATTGAATGAGGTATTTGCAGATACAGTACATAAATGAACAATCTAGAGAGCAGCCAACAGAAATAAGAATGTTAACTATAGGGCAGGGTTAGGGAACCTATGGCTCGGGAGCCACATGTGGCTCTTTGACCAAAAATATGTGGCTTTCCATTTGTCTCTCTTCAATAATATTTTAAAGTTTAAAAAAAAATTATAAATGTCATTAGAAATCAGTTTCCTGTTGAAAATACAATTACGATTCCCTTTATATTGTATTTTCTAAAGCAAAATGATTAAGAACTCAGTTAACAAAAGGACTTTTTAACCAATACACAAATGTGGCGCTGTGGTTTAACTTGAATCTCAACATAAATAAAGGGCAAGCAACTTACATTTCTATGGTAACCTCACACATGTAAATTCAAACAACATTCTTGAGAGGCGATGGCAAAAAGAACAAAAAATCTATAAATTGTTCATTCTTCATATATTGTGATATGTCATTTTTGTTTATTTTTGAGTTGTGCATGGACATAAATAAAGGTTTTGTTTATAAATAAATATAGATTTTGTTATATATATATATATATATATATATATATATATATATATATATATATATATATATATACACATACACATCCCCAATGTCTCTTTAAAAAAATCATAAATGGCTCTTTGCTGAAAAAAGGTTCCCGACCCCTGCTATAGGGTTTGAAATTACCTTTTTTTACTCACTGGCCAGCCATTCAGAACTTTTCATGGTCAAAACAAAATGATCAGAAATACCAGATCTCTAGAATTCCTTAGAATTTAAACAATATTATTTGTCTCCAAAATTAATGTTTTATGGTAAACATGCTAAGCATTAGCGGCCAGTCCAAAACAATACAGGTAAAAGTTCACTTCAATAATGAACAAAGTAAAATCAATGGCTTTAGATTAAGATACTTAAAAACAGCCGAGACAAAAGGGACAAATAATAAGACAAGAGATATTCTATATTATTGCTGTATATATAATTTATAGTTCCCAGAGATGGGTTGCGGCTGGAAGGTCATCTGCTGCGTAAAAACTTGCTGTATAAGTTGGTGGTTCATTCCGCTGTGGCGACCCCGGATTAATAAAGGGACTAAGCCGACAGGAAAATGAATGAATGAATGAATGAATGAATGAATGAATATAATTTATAAATACTTTATTTTACCCCAACAGAGTTTTTGCATCTGTCATCTCGTTTTACGCCTGAACAACTAAATGAATGCTTATGTCTATTTACTGTAACTGATTGTATTTTAACTACATTACAACAACAATGCTGTGAAAGGAACCTTATGAAATTAAAAATAGACATTGACCTTTCACCGGAAGTTTATCGACTGAAAAGCACTAACTGTCCATATAGCCCATTGTACAAAATAATATGTTTGTTTACTATAACGCACTAGGTAATATCTATATTTTTATTTTACATGATAACATTACATGCTAATGAAATTAATAGAGGGCTGGATAATGTTAGTATTGCAACCCTGATCAGGGGCAGAATGGGACAGTATTTTGACCCGGGAAAAGTTATTGAAGGTCAGGTCAAATTAAGGGGGGTGGTGGGTGATTGAGAGCGCAATTTGGGGGGGCAAACCTCTCCTTTTAACTAGTGACCCAAAGCCCTCTGACTCCACAGGGCTCATGATAAACAACCCAGGGGGAAAAGTGTTTTTGACTGTGACTCTGTTGATCCTGTAACCATGTGTCAACTGATCAATGCAGGGCGGAACAGAAATATCAACTAGTGCAGCTGGGTTAACATAGTGCAGGGCTCTCTGAGGAGTCTCTGAGCTATTGTTGAAAAGCCAAGAATCTGTGTATTGTTGTTTTAATGTGCACACAGTAAAAACCTGTCTGGCAGGTGTTAAAACATTATGACGGCTGCTGGCGCACATACATGCTTTTGTACTCCTTTGGTTAAAGATTTTCCTGTTTGTTAAACGACCTTGTAGACATTATAGTTACCTTTCGTCTTTGTTCATCCGGATGCATCCCTCAATGATCTCTTTCAGCTCGGGAACTTTAACTTTGTAGAAGCTGTCTGGCTTCATGCCCTGAGAGAGCAAGAGAGAGGTTGGGGGAGGAGAAAAGTGGAGGAAAATTAATTTTAGATACTGGAAATGTCACAGGTGTCATTCACTCAGATGGACTGCACTCAACGCTTTAATGGAAACAATTTTGTGTAGAGAACACGGCAGAGTGGGTTTACTCACACAAAAAAAATACATCCACCATTTTTTTTTACACAAAATCACAAGGCATGTTAAGAGATCTCTATGTTTTTGTGGAAATGTTATTCATGCCCTGCAAAAAAGCCATAAGTTACTTTAAAAGCAATAAGTTGAAGTTACTTAAAAAACTGAGTAAACCCATTGACTATTAAGTTGACTTCATTTATTATAATTATGGCATACAGTTCATTTACTGTACTTAAAAATTTAAGGCAGCCAGTTTATTCACTTTTATATTAAGTAAATCAATGAATCACTTTTTGCAGTAAGAAATTATTAAACCAGGTCTGAAATCATGGCAACACTTTAGTTTGAGTAACAATTCACACTATTGACTACTGGCTTATTACCTGCCTATTATTAAGATATTAACGGTTTATTAGCATAATTAGCAAAAAGTCTCAGTTAATGGTTTGTTAATAGTGTGAATTAGTATATAGTGTAAATAGCAGTGAACAAAATAACATTAGAAAAGTGCAGTACTGTCCAAACTGGGCAAATACTTTAACAAATGTGAATGTGGTGTTGTATGTACAGTTGAAGTCAGAATTATTAGTCCCCCTTCGTTTTTCTTTTTTAAATATTTCCCAAATGATGTTTAAAATGTTCAAAGTTTGTCTGATTATATTTTTTCTTCTGGAGAAAGTCATATTTGTTTTATTTCGGCTAGAATAAAAGCAGTTTTTATTTTTTTAATAACCATTTTAGGGTCAAAATTATTAGCCCCTTTATATATCTTTTTCGATAGCCTACAGAAAAAAAACACTGTTAAACAATAACTTGCCTAATTACGCTAACCTGTCTAGTTTACCATAATAACCTAGTTATAACCTTAACCTAGTTAAGCATTTAAATGTCACTTTAAGCTGTTTTGAAGTGTCATGAAAAATATCTAGTCAAATATTATGTAATGTCATTATGGCAAAGATAAAAAAATATCAGTTATTAGAGATGAGTTATTAAACTATTATGTTTAGAAATGTGTTGAAAAAAATCTTATTTCTGTTAAACATTAATTGGGAGAAAAATAAACAGGGGGGCTAATAATTCATGGGGTCTAAAAATTAATAGGGCTAATAATTCATGGGGTCTAATAATTAATGGGGGCTAATAATTGTGACTTCAATTTTAATAGTAAGGATACTGTATTTACACAGTCTTACATTTTTGGCCTTTAAGTGAAGAATTAACAGAAACGTTTACAGCATTTTCAGATGAAATATTTACAGATATTTCACACAAATTAGAATTTCATAGCAGGTGGCTCTTATTTTGCCAACACTTGGTCTGCATATTCTGAACCTGATGTAATAATTGTGATTTAGTTTTAATTAGTGTGCAGAAATTTAAAATGTAAATAATTTGTGGTATTCCATAATCTATAACTCTCAGAAAAAAGGTACACAGTGGTACAAATAATGTTCCTTGAGGAATGGTTTTGTACTTTTAAAAAAAAATTGTACCATATGTTACAGAAAAGACCTCTTATGATAATGTTCTGTACATTTAATAGTACAACTGAAATGAAGGTAAACAATTGTTCTCATATAAGGTACAAAAGTGTCACAACCCCTTTATTACAATATCTATTCACCTTATTCTCCGCCGATGAGTGGGCGCTGCCATTTGAATCTTTTTGGCTTGAGACTTCCGGTCTTATTCACTTCCATTCATTTTTTTGACGTTAAAAACTGCTCATTACGCTGCATGATGTTGCAATTTTATATTTTCTTCTTATATTATTCTACTTGGTCTGTATAGTCATGCAGACATTTGTTTGTAGAGCAAGTAGTTTGACTGTTTTCTGCCGTTTATTATTCCTAGTCATTTCTCCCATAAGCGACTGAATCGGAAGTTCTAAGACAATCGCGAAAACAGGCAAACTTCCGCATTTTAGAATAAGGTCAATAAAAATAAATATGACTGGAAAGGCAAAGTGATTTTATGAATAATTTTCACATCAAAATATGGATCATCATTTAAAAGTATAAGTTTAAAGAAACTCATAAACATTATTTATTAACTTCTATAATACAAAACCAATGGTAAAACATAAAACTATAGGTATAGTAAACTAAACATTTAAGGCCTTTTAAATAAATGTATGCTAAGCATTTTGACACTGTTAAGGTACAAAGTGTCTTGTCACGATGGTGGTATCTTTATGGATCAGATTTGTACCTAATGTACAATACTGTATATGCAGGTTTTAAACAACAAAGGTACATTTTGGTTTCCCATGGAAATCATGTCCATAAAGGTACAAAGTAAACTGCAATGGTTCAAATTTGTTTCCTTGTCTTAAGTTACAATTCTGTGCCTTAAAAGGTACTGCCCTAGTGACAAGGGTTTGTACCTTCTTTGGTACAACATTGTACCATTTTTTCTGAGAGTGTACAGTGGTCAAGAGAGCTTAATGTGTTTCAGTTTAAGAAAACGCATGCGATTACAAAAAACACCAGCAAATTAAGAAAGGATTTTCATCTGTTTGACAGCACAACTCGCATACATAAAAAACGTGCTGCACTTTCCCAAAACGCAAACAAATATAAAAATGTCTGTTTTTTTTCACAACATTTACAAATAAAAGAGAACACAATGGAAATGTATCAAGAGGACCCTAAAACATGACAGACGCTTAAGCGAAATGTTTATAATGATGTGACTAGTGCTTAGTGAAGTTTGAAAGGTCTTTGAAAAGTCCGTTTTTTGTGTTTGTTTGTTTGTTTGTTTATTTATTTTAACATCCTAATTCCCTTGTCTTTGTATTTTGTTAGCCTAAATAACCATAACCTAAAGAGAGAGGTCTGTGATGTTTTAGGGTCTCCTTGAAACATTTCCATTGTGTTCTGTTCTATTTGCAAGTGTTTTGAAAATATGCAGCACGTTTTTTTGATTTGCTTGCGTTGTGAGGATTTGCAACACATGTGCTGTCAAACCGATGAAGATCTTTTCTAAATTTGCTAGTGTTTTTTTGTAATTGTATGCGTGTTCTTAAATTGCAGCATGTTGAGCTCTCTCAGCCACTGTAATAATCAATTTGAAATCACAAATTACACAGCAGTGGTGCATTAAACTGTCTGTAATGTGTAAAAGTAATTTTATTCTAGATTACACTAGATAGATTGTAGGGTAAGAATCCTATTTTGTTGTTGATATTGTATTGAAGAGTTTGTTCAATAGTATTGAACATGCTCTATCCAGCAGCGTTCAGCATGTTAAATAAGTCAAATGCTCAATGACCCAAACATCATTCTGAACCAGATATTGATGTTTGTGTGTGACTTTTGCAAAGATGCTGAAGTGCATTCCAATATTACATACATTACATACAATATTATTTATTTTGTATAATTACTATGCTGATTTCTGTTTTATAATGCCATTATGTTTGATAAGCATTGCACAGAAAATGCACATTTTACAAAAAAAATAAAAAATAAAATCTTTGGTCACTTTTTCTTGATGTTCCGTTTGTTGAATTTAAGTTACATTGCATCTATATGCCAACTAATTCCTTTACATTATAAGTAAACTCTTAGGTTAAGGTTAGTCTAAATCAATATGTATTTGCAATTTGTATTGTATTTGTATTTATTATAGTCAGTTAAATGTGTGTTGAATGTCTGTATCAACAGATATTAAGCTGACAGTCTACTAATACTCAACTGAAGCATCAAAATAAAGTGTTACCAAGTCCTTAAACTTGCATTGAATTGAGATCTAATGTACAATTTAAATGAGCTCCATAACAACAGTTTTTATATAAAGTGCATTTTTGGTCAACACAGCACAAACGCACAGTACGTTCAGTTCTTCTGGGCTAAACAGACCATATTAACAGGGTTATCTGTTGGGCAGCTAATGACAGAGAACAGACGCCATATTGTGAAAAAACATCGATCACACAAGACATGCTTTGTTTGACATGGTGGGTTTGCCTGTTTACACATTTAACCATTTTTTCAAGTCTCAGTAGGACATTACAACAATTGGACACTCACAAACACAATTTTGATAAATAAAAAGAACACTTTGGATACTTTTAATGATTGATTTCAATAAGAACAGCTTCTAGAAAATATGTGCATTTTTTAAAAACTACTGTTTTCCTAGAAGAACCATCTGGTTTTCATTTAAATGATAAGAAACCTAATTCTTAAAACCAAGGAAATGCTGGTTTCACAGTCCATCTCCTCTGCTAAGTGGAAAAGCAAAATTAAGTAAAGCTCTCATTCAGGAAATGTGAGGCACACTGAAGAAACAGATGAGGTGAAAACCACAAAATTGCAATGCTGAGGACATTTTCAAATTACTCCCACTTTAGAACCAGCTTATTGAAGGTAAAAGTCCTCACGAGCAAACTCAAAGCCATAAACTACAGTTCAAATCCATCACATCATCACTTTAAACAGTGTTCTTGGACTGAAAACATCATAGAGGAAAGCAATGACGCAACTTCAGTGTACTTCCAGCCAGGCCTGATGCCATACGCGCATTGCGAAAGACAATATGGAGCAGATCCATGCTGCTGTTGGACAGAACATTCTTGTGGCAACGGCAGCAAGCTCAATTCTCAGAGGTGCCCAGAAAATACAGAAAAGAACTTGTTGACGCAGCCAGGACGCTTTGGTATTGCTTGTACAGATAATAGGCCCATTGAATGTTGCGATGGAAAGAAAAGCAGAAAATACAAAACAGAGGTGCAATTCAGCGTAAAGGGGGTGGAGTGGCATGAAGTTCTCACCCCTGAAAACTGCTTCTGTCTGAGGCACTGATCTAATAGGCTTTCAGGTGGCATACAAATAAGGTTGTTGAAAGGG